TGTCAAATTTGTGGTCCTCATCCACCTGTAAGTACTTTTTACAAAATATTGAGTCGATCAAGTCCGTCTGGATCGACCACAAAATTAAGAAGCAAATGAATAAAAAGGGCCTTAAAAGTTTCAAACATACACATAACATACGCATCATGTTAATGGAATTATATTTCGTCCAAAAAACAAACCTGCATTTAGCTAGTTTGTATTGTAGATACAATGTGAGTAATTTTTTATTTTTTATTTTTGGTTATCTTCTAAACTAATAAGCGCCTCTTTTTTCTTTTCTTTTTATCATAAAGAATCGAGTCGTGTTACTCAATAAATTTTGGGGCCAAAGAGGTTGTGCGGAACATTCCAAGGATGGGACTTTGCGGTGCAATGCTTGCCATAGATTTAAGGTTTGTGAAAACACATTTTATTCCTCATAGTTGTCACATACTAATCATGTTTTTTTCCTTTTCCAATTGACATGTTTCTATTTTTCTTCTTGTTGTTTGGATTTAATTAATATTGGCGTTTAACTTGTCTGATTGCTTATCTCTAAACCAAACCATAATTTGGGACTGGAAATTTTCTTTCCTTGGTTAATTGCCTGTCTACATCATGCAGGAACCAGAAATAAAATATGTAGAGGTTGATGGGCGGCATCTTTGCTCAGATTGCTATTCTATTACTATCATGGATCCTAAGAAATGCAAGCTTCTTATTTTTGAAAACGTGCATAGATTTTATGCAAGTTTAGATCTCAAGGTGAATAAAGACATTCCTATTTTATTGGTAGATGGGGATGAGATGATCAAATTTAAGAACGAAACGACAAAGAGTACACGTAAGTGCACACCAAAACCATATCAAATTTATTTGATGGATCTGTTTGTTATTGTGAGAATGTGAAACCTAGCAATGACTTATAAGGAGTTGAGCTACCTTCTCCTATTGCCAATTGGTTTTGGAGTGGAACCTCAACTTCCTTCAGTTACTATAAAAGCAAGATGAAATTTAGTAAATTTATCATAACTTGTTTGGCTTTTATTTTATTCGAAAAACTTATCAAGTTTTTTATTTTCATGTTCTTAATTTAGCTGCCGGCAGTGCCCTATTCAACAATTACACGGCTATCATGACGGTAAGATTTTCATTAGGAGTTAATTATTTTCGTTTTCTCTAATAAAGTATTAATCCCCATAAATATACAGTAAATATTTGTGATAAAAGATATTTCCTGTATGCCTTTGTATCAGATTAATAGATGTACAGAATACGAAGACAGAATTAAAGTCGAGAAGAAAGCCAACAAAGTTGCCAAGCTGAAACTTTTAGCAGCATTATTTTGCTGCGGCCAAAGAGTTAGACTTTTGCTTCGATTCGGATCCCCCGAGTACGTCACTATTAGCATCATTACCCGTTGCAATTTAATTTCTCTAATTCATTTGTAGTGTATAAAGTAATCATATTATTTTGTTTAAAATCTAAATAACTCTGTAGTTTTATCTTCCTTGCAGGGTGTTCATGGGCATGATATTGGCACATGAGATGATGCATGCATGGTTGATCTCTAAAGGTTATGCTTCATTAATTATTCGCTACAAAAAAACATTAAAAAAAAAATACAAAATAGAATTTGTTTAAAACTTATGCCAGCAGGTGCAATATTATTAGGACAATGCTTAGCTCCTGCTCATGGGTCAATACTCAAGAGCCAAGCAATGTCTAATATATAGTATGATCTCCAGGTATTTTTATTTTTATTTTTCTCAATAATGGTGCATATTGTAGGTCTAATTGGCGGTCTTAAACCGGAAAGCTGGGTAGAAGAAGGTATTTGCGAAGTAATGTCACACAAATATGGGCAATGGTATTGTCCCGGGGGTTTTGACTACTCAATCAAAACCAAAGAGCAGCTTGATTTCACAAAAAAATTGTACCAGTATAGAGCAAGATGTATGAAAAACCGTTCCGATGAAATTTATGGAAAAGGGTTCAACCAGGTAATGCAGGCTGTTGAGGAATATGGCTTCCCAACTACACTAGATCATATCGTTGCGGCAAGATGTCTGCCACATGTCTGTACGAATTCGAAGTAAGAAGATGAGGAAGAAGAGAAGATGTGATTATTATTATTACTTTTTAGGATATTAACTTATGTTGGATACGTCATGTTGGTGTAGATCGGTTTGAGGATCTCAGGATCAATCTAATGTGGAAATTTATTTATTTTTTCCAGAATTTAAGCAGGCTGGGGTAGCAGTTGTGGTTGAAAAAAAAATATACAATGAGGGCCCTGGCCTTGTTCCCGCCAAAAGCACATCAAAAGCAGCCCACACTGAATTTTTACAGAAAATGAAAAATTGTGGACGAAAAAAGAATAAATATGAGAAGTATTTTTCTAAATTGCTTAAACCCAAAAACCAAAAAAGTTTGGTCTTCATCTTCTATTTGGGAACTCATTGTACCATGGGAGATGGTAGCGGGATCTCGACGACATGCACAACAACAGCAGCTTCGATCGGGTAGCTCTCACCACCTTCATTTTCTTCTCTTTAGTCTTCACATTCTTCATGTATTGGTGGGGCAGTTTGCTACGTGGGCTGTACTAATTCGTAATTAGAATCAAAATAAAAGTTGAATTCCTATTACGGATACTCATGTGTTTACTTTACATAGAAGAATGAAAGTTCGAGTGAGACCCACACCTATTCAGGAATTCAATTCCTGATTTTGGAGGAATTAGAATCTTGGGTGGGAGGTGATATTCTAATTCCATGAAGGAATTCATTTTTTTACCCATTATATCCTCACAAATTTTAAAATTTTAAAATTGCCATATACTTAACTCAATAACGATGACATTTTAGTAAACAATTTGGTTTAAATTCCAATTCATGGAAATTTAGTAAACAACTTATGCAAGTGGTTTTGAGTATTTACTCCCTCATGCAAGGTCCTGGGTTCAAATTCTGACGTCCATGTAGTGTATGTAAGTTTAGTATGTTATCGCCTATTTCAATAGGAAAGGTCCTTTAAAAAATAAAAAATAAAAGTAAGCAACTTATAAGGAATTAGTACCACTCCTACCCAAATTTCATATAGTGTAATAAACAACTTCAATAGGAATTTAGATTCTCACTCTCTTCAATCTAACTCCTCCTAAATTCCATTCATCCTTGATTCAATTCCTCTTAATCCGATTACAGATTAGTAAACATGATGTAAATAGAGATGCCATTAAGGGCTTGTTTGGTATTATATTTATCCAAAATTTTAAATTTAATAACATAATCTATATATCAGTCCTGATCTCTTGGACTACAGGGGTCTAGGAGATTTGTGATCACTCACCGAGATTTTTTGAACCATTGAATTAATATCCAACAGTGGGTGACCACAATCTCTTAGACTCCTGTGGTCTAAGAGATTGGGACTAGTCTATATATATAAAGCAAAAGGCAGAGAATGGTGAAACATTCAAAATACCAGAAAATGTCATTGGTTAATTTAAATATTAAAAATTGAAATTATTAATTAAATAAGGATAATATGGTAAATTCACATTTTTTTTCATATTAAAAAATTAAAATTAAAACAAAATCAGATAATAGGTCCTACTTTTATGGAATATATCTACCCATGTTATCTTTTCTTAATTTAAAAAAAAAAAAAAACCAATTGGAAGCAAAATTTATATGCAACCTGTAAACAAGAAAAATACAACTACCCATTATCTTTTTTAATTTTAAAATAAATTTAATTTTTTTTCAAAAATTAAAAGTATAACCACGCGGCTATACTCTTTAAATGTATTAGAGTATTTTAAAAGTATAGCCATGGAGCTATACTGCATAAAATGGTTTTTACTAACTTCATAAATTACTTAATAAGTAGTAATTAATTATTTTAAATTATTTTTTGGACTATGTTTTTTATACAAAATTAGTTTAAATAAATAAATAAAAACTGTTGTTATAAAAAAAAAAAAATCTAGAAAAACTCATTATTTTTAATAAAAATATATATTTTTGAATAGGAAACGAAAGAGCAACCGAGAGTTGGTTTGATCTCTGGCCGAGAAATGAGGGACGAGATCACTAGAACTAAGAAGGACGAGTGGTTAAGGTATGCGCCTGTGTTAACCAACATGTATATGCCAATGCTTCATGATGAATAAGTAATATGCTGGTGTTTCATTCAGCTAAGGTTTCAGATCAAGTTGAGGGACCGTCATCCTCTGTTTACTTTTTTTTTTCCTATGAGTTGTTTGTCTCTTTCAATGAAAATTTAACTAATGGATTTGCCCTTTGTGGTCCGATGGTGTCATTTATGCATTCACGTCTGTTTTCCATGATGGCCATGAATTTAGAGACCTGTGAATTAGTGTTGTCTTGCCACATGGATGCTCTGTTAGCTGCTAACTAACCATGAGGCATATGTGGCCTTGTACTGAAAACTCGACAGTTGGCATGGTCTATAAATCTTACTATCTTAGTATTGTCGACTTGTAGAAGTTTTAAAATTGTTGTAATGGAGAAAAAGAATGCCTTTGTTTACTTTAGTCACCTAAGATGACACTTTTTTGTGTATGTATGCAGTTTGTGTGACAAGTAGAAGCTGAGATGGTCACTGTTCAATAATTTTCTCTGGTTACTCGAAGGAGATCGAACTCGGGTGCAAAAGGACATGTACACTGCCTTGACCAACTACCCCAACCCACATTTGCTATTATAAATCTTGTTAGGAGCTGGGATATAATTGCCTAACATGGAGCGTATTAAGAGGAATATGAATATCTTGTGGATGTGTTGATATTGACAACTTACGTGCACTAACATTTGAAGGTAAAATTGTTGTCGAGTTTTGATGATCAAGATGGTGTTAATCATCTTGGTCATGTGAGGAGAGATAGAGATGGAAGTTATCGATCTCTAAGTGGCAGCATGTTAATCCACAACTAAGACTACTCATGCAACAAAAATGTAAAGGTGAACCAAGTATGGCACCCACTATGATAAAAGGATTTCGAGGTTTAAGCATCACAGAATGAAGGTAGATCCCAATAAAAAGGGGACATATCCATGTTCAAAGTACTAAAAAAGGGCAACCAATAGCTTTACAAAATTGCCCACACTTCTGGCTTCTCACTACAAGCGAAGATTCATATCAAGATTGTTCAATCTTTGTTTATACTGGAAGCTTGGATTCCTCACTTTCGTTTTCGCTGCTGCTTCTTCTTGGCCTTTGAAGTGCTGGACTTGCCATTTCGTTTTGGATCTGGCTTTTGAATTGAGCATGCAGGATCAATGCTTTTCTCACCTATAACAGAATAATTAGGGAACTCACACCATTACTTAAAATCAAGTATCATCATTTACAACAGAATAATATATCCCTTCCTCCCTCTCCCCATTAAAATAAAGAAGTTCACGACTTTACCCTGTTCAGTCACCAGTGAATTTGAGCTCTGGCCTGATGAGGAATTCGTCCTGGCCTGTTGGCTTGGAAATCCTACACATGATGGGTAAATGCATATTAAACTATGTATAAGAAATAATCATTCAAATCAATGTGGCAGTGCATGGAGAAGAGGCTCTTTCTTGTATAAAGAAAAAGAGAAAAGTAAAAAGATTTTTCCATCATGCATTCCTTTTGAATCTAATATGAAAGGCTCGAATAGCCTACTCTGGAAACCCAAGAGACAACAGTAAAGTAGGATAAAAACCCTCTCCCCCTTAAGGAATTAACTGATGTAATATCCTACCACTAAAACGACAATCAAGTTTCTAGCTTTCGCATTTCAAATTACTCACAAAGCCCCAACTAGACCTTGTTGGCAGCCGGGCACGAAAACCTAGAAAAATAGGGAGGCAACTGAATATGATTGTCAATAAGATGAGGCCAGAAAGAATTCTGGAGTTAAGTTTCCATGGACAAGGGAGGAAAAGGTGGAAAGTACAAAATCAAAGGAGATAACCCTACTTTAATGCAAGTATATGTGATTGAAACAAGTTTCCAATCTCAGTTTTGGACAGGATCAATTTCCTTACAATCCTTTTCAACATAAAAGTGCTTAAATACGACCAATTTGTTCCGGATTAGGAAGGCTGATTATTAGATTTACAACATTTTTATAATATATGAGTGCAAATGATACACAGGAAACTAAGAACTTATTGGTAAAGGCACTTAAAAATTTTAGTTAAAATATAATCAAAACTGCTCTCTAATACATCACAAGATTCCTTCTAAGTGACCTAACCTAATTTAGAGAATTGGAAACAATTGTAGCACACAAAAAAGGTATACAATATTAATGCATTTGTATCTAAAGGCAATCGTAAACAGAAAGAAATAACTAGATAAACTCATGAAGTTCCTTTTCATCATTTTCTCATGTTGAAATAATTTGAAATCCACAGTTCGTCTAGATATATATACACGACAATAAACAGAAAAATCATAAACTAAAAACATTAAGAAGCTAGGAGGAGAAGCTTAAACTCACCAGTGAATAGATAGAAACTTGTGCAGGAATTGCATAGCTGATATAGCGCATCAGCGCATCATATGTGTAAAATTCTTGACCTGTTGCAGGACAGAAGAATCCCTACAATAGCCATGCATTGAAAAGTATCAGTCCTTGCAACTCTGAAACTTTTTTATGTTTAAACTATTTTCTCTTTATCATAATTAGTACTATATTTAGTAGTAGTATAGTACTATTTTCACCATTTAATTTTATTTTAATTAGTACTATATTTTAGTAGTATGTCTTTGAGCAAGCTAAAAGCCAGACAATCTAATAAATTTGGTTACAACTTACAAGTGAACCAATTATTCAGATCAAAAAAGAAAAAACAAGTGAAGCAAAAATCTCTAGCCAAGGAAGTTGATCCAATAAATAAGGATTAAGATTTTGAAAAAAGGGAAAGTAAAGTATAATCTACTGCCCTGCTAACAGTTTTGTTCACAGCTTAAAAATAACTACCATTGGTTTTCAAAAGTATATTTGAGAGTAAAAGGGTGCCATCTTGTTTCTCTTTGTAGCAGTTCAAGTCTTTTACGTAAAGCAAACCTGCCATTAGGGTTTAGAGTTTGATAGCATTTTTTTTTTAATTTCACAGGGCGAGAAAAAAGAAGAAGAAGAAGAGTGCATGATTCAATGCTTCATGGTAGCAGCACACTTGTTGATAATTGAGATATGTTCAGAAATATGGTAAACAAAGATCATCTTTAAATACACATAATTGGTAAAATTAAAGAGCATATGGAAAAACAAGTTTCCATATATAACGAGCTATTTAATGCTACGAAGACATTCTTTTTAATTAACAACCATCGCATTCACTATAACCACCAAAAATCTTGTGGCGCTTATTGGCAGTATGCATCCAACATTAATTAGGCTGCTCTAATGTGATGGTCAAAGCAATTCAACACGTGCAGCTATTTGGAAAACAACATTACGTAGATTCATCTTAAAGATGTTATGACAAAGCTGAATTGAATGGATCATGTACCACTTACTAATATATAATAGCTGCATGCAATTCAACACGTGCATCTATTTGGAAAACAATTTTATTTAGATACATCTAAAACATGATGATGAACCAGACCTGAATGTTCAACGATCTTGTACTATCTTGTACTACGTACTGCCAAATCTATCTTTTCAAAAGTATCAGTGCAAGTCCACGTGCTCTAACTTATGAACACTGCAATCATAGGCAAACCAATTTCAACTTGTGTCATCTAATCCATATAAATGAGTAAGGAAATTTCATGTTTTGTATCTAACATTCAAGTTTCTTAAACAGAGCATGGTACTTATGCCTTGACAATATAAGATCTACACAATTACATGAACAGTAAAAAGATTTAGGATCTAAGATCTAAGCCAATTAGACAATTTACAACACTAGAAAACCATTTTATTTCAAGGGGAAAAAAAAATCACTGAAACCTTCAAATCTGCACCTTGAATGATCAAAACAGTGGTTCTACTTCTCATATAATCAAGTAAAAGTTTTTATTTCTAAAATATTCTTCTTGTACGCAATTGACAGCACACAGTTCCCATTTTGATGGAGCAGCAGGGCACGTATCTCAAATGTTCACCTATATTACTCAATGAACACATATACAATCACAATCACAGCACAACACATTCAAAAAAGACCCATCACACCATAAACAAAACTGAAGTTAAAGCTTCCAAATTTTCAAAGTTGACAGAGTTATACCAGACTCAAGCTTTACCAGACATTCATACAAATAAAAGGGTATAGATTTAAGAGTACCTTGATCTCAGTCCCATCCCTCTTGACCCTTGTATCCAACACCCAACCCTCAGGAATCTCAAAGGGGTTATTCTTAGGCGCCATTGCTGAGAAAAATGCCAACCCAACAAACTGTACTCTCTGTGCAGCTCAAGAACCAAATGAGGGGCTTTTTTTATCAGTGATGGTGCGATATAAATGAGGCAGCAAAGCCAAACATGGTAGGCAAGGTGAGAATAATAGAGTGCTGGGTTGGAAACCAAGTGGTTGCATTTTTGGAGAGGAGGAGGAACGTGTAAGATGGTATGGTAATAAAGAAGATTAAGAAGAATCCTTGCTGGCTCAGCTTGTTCTTGAGTGTTCATGGGACAAACAAGAATTACGGGTTCTGGGTTGGATTTTGTATATTTGCACAGAGGATGAGAGAGAGAGAGAGAGCGAGCCAAAATTAGGTTTGCCGGGTTCAGAAATTGGGAATCAGCCGTTACTGGTTTTGAATCGAACGAGCTCCTTGGGCGCCACTTGTCAAAACCCGTATAGCCGGGCGGCTATACTATTCTTATAAAAAATCAAAACTGGAGTATAGCCGGCCGGCTATACTATATGACCTTCCATGCGATTAGACGCCACGTGTCAAAATCAGTATTGCTTTTAAAAAAATACAGAAAACCAAATATAGCCGATCGGCTATACTATTTATATATTTTAAAAAGATTATACTATTTAAATTAAAAATTAAAAAAACCAAGTATAGCCGCACGGCTGTACTATATGTATATAGAATGACCCTTCTTGCAAGGTGTTGATATAGGTATACCCACGCGACTATACTATTTTTAAAAAAAAAAATAAAAAACCGAGTATAGCTGTATCTCACAACCAATGCTGCAGGGGGAACGTATTTCAAAGGAGGAGCTTTTGAAATCACAAAGGAAAGTAGAAGAAAAACCGAAGGTATGTTGGAACATAGTGAACGGGTCATGCTTTGAGTGGTGCAATATCTATTAGTTTTGAATAGATTACTTTTTGTCATTTTGTCTGTAATTTCATCAGGAGATAAAGTTGGAATGGGGTAAACGCTTGGGCCAAAAACGGGAAGCTGAAAAGAAAAAAATTGTGCAAATGAAACCTGAAAAGTCAATAACGTCCTTGATGGCAAATTATTGCCAATTGGTCCTTTTGAAGTGCAAATCGAAAATCACAAATCCAGCATTGTACATTGTTTTTTGTCTTTTACTTTTGTTTTGTTTTTGTGATTTTACACAAACTGGAAATCCAATTAATGTATATGGTACCACTAATACTCCCATCCAGAAACGCCACTATTATTGTAACAAAATTTTATGACATGTCAACCCAAAAATACAAAGATAGCCAAAAATTGGATCTGGCTCTCTTCCAGACTCTTCTATACATGCATATTACTCATCAGTCATCACTACTAGAAAACCTCAATATAAAGCCACAGATACACCCCTGAAAAAGTATTTTATTAAACAATTTGAGGTTTTAATGCCAATTAATGTGAGGAGAAGCCAACAAAACGGTCAGGGTTTGTTGCGCACAGACGCAGACGCAGACATGAGTAGCTAATATTAATCAAGAGCACAGAGCAGACATTGAGTACAGGACAGGGTTTAGGGTTTAGGGTTTAGGGACCTAGCCTAAACCCTGTCATGTACTCAATGTCTGCTCTGTGCTCTTGATTAATATTAGCTACTCATGTCTGCGTCTGCGTCTGTGAGCAACAAACCCTGACCGTTAGGGCAAAAAGTGCATCCATATGCAACATAGAGAATTAAATTACGTTAGAGAGAGAGAGGCTTGGAGAGACGAGGGTGTTGCGGACATGCCATTTGTAAACGAGTTTGGGTTGTGGGGGAGGCCGCAAACGCATTTAATTCTTAGGACTTTGCGTCAATGAGGTCCAAAACATTACCAAGAAGCACCAAAGTGCCACAACACACAAAAAACCGAGTCTCTCTTTCAACACTTTAGTATTCCTTCCCACTCTTTCTCCCACGCACCTGCACTTCCTTCTTTATTTATACCCCTCCACCATTCAAAAAGCTCAATCAAAACAGACACTCACTGATCACAGACAGACAGCAGGCATACAGACAGACACAGTGTGTGTGTGTGTGAGAGAGAGAGAGAGAGAATCATTCTTAATGAATTTGTCCAGCCTAAACCACCACCAAAGTCTAAGAAGAAGAAGAAAACCAATGTGTGTGTGTGTGTGTGTGTGTGTGTGAGAGAGAGAGAGAGAGAGCGAGAGCAAACCACTCAAACAATATTTCTTTCAAATGAGAAAATCACTGTAGCAAAAAATAACATCCGGATAGAATAGAAAGCAAACCACTCAAACATTCTTCTTAAGTCTCATAAGTGACATGAATTAAGCAAAGGATAGAAAATTGGAGGTTTAGAGTCAAACTAATACGATAATAGAACAACAGTTTGCAGAAAAAGCTCACGGTCATGCCATTGGCACATGAGATGATGTGTGGTTTGAATCTGGATTTAGGCTTCTCCATGGGCACTCACTGTTCCATGGGAGACGATGGTGGTGGGATAGGGACGTCATGCATAAGAGAACATTCTGGGGTCGGGTAGAACTCATATTCATTTTCTTCTCTTCTGTCTGGTGTGGCAATTGACCCACTCAGCTGGGATTCCACATCTGCATCAACTGATTGTATCGAAGATGGTGGAGTTGATCCTCCCACATTTGTGCTCTTCAGAATCGATTTGATAACAGATACAACATCCATACAATCATTGCTCCAATCCAAAAGGAAAAAAATATTATTGCTCCTCTTTTTTTCATGGCTACAAAAATTAAATTAAATTAGTAAATAATAAAAATTCTAAAACCCAAAATACTAAAGCAAAACCAACTAGTACTACCCCAAATATTATATCCGAACTCTCCCATCTAGATTTAACTAAAATAAATCCAAATAAAATCAAGTAAGTTTTGGATTCCACTAGATTTATAACAAAAGATGGCAAGATTTATAACAATTTGCACAAATCAAAACCAAAATATAAAAAGGAAACAAACAAGCACCAAACCTCAAGTTTAGTTGAGAAGATAGTTGTTCCTCCAAGTGGGTGTGTGCTTGGAAATGAGGGAGAGAAAAGAGTTGTTCCTCCACAAGCACCTCTCTTTTTTATGTTGGGTACTATTTGGTTTTTATAGGCCATATGAAATTGAAATATTTTACTATTATTCAATTCAACCGTGGTAATAAAATTTTACACGTCATAGTAAATGAGTTGCCATAATTATAACGAAGTTTGAAGTTGCATGATTCTAAATTGCGTATTAAAAAATTTTACACGTCATAGTAAATGAGTTGCCATCTTCTGTTAAGGGAATAAAAACGATGGTATAATATCAGATATTTTGTATTGAGATTAACAATAACTCATTTATTAATCGTGTCTTTGGCTAGATTCCTATATATAATCACCAACTCTCAATTTTTAACTTGTTTTTCCATTTCTTATTAATGGCTAGATTGTTGATCATCCAAAACCCCCATGGGCAAGTTCCCTTTTAGATTTTAGATTTTGGGGTCCCATGGTAATGTGACAGATGAATTCAAAAGTGTGCTGATTTTGGAATATTCAAAGTTGGACACGCGCACATATATATATATATCCCATAATTCATGTTTTGGAACTTATGCTCCTTTCATACATGTGGGAGGATTAATTTGGGGCAACATAGATGTGACTGATATAACTAAAAAATGTTGTCATTTCGTCGCATGTTAATTTGATGCCACATGCACATTGCACATTGCACATTGCACATAGTGATAGGCATTGTCCGTACACACGATATGGCACCATGGCCTGGTGATCACGCGAAGGACTTGGAACAGTGCATTTATTGCACAGCTGGAAATATATTCACATAGTCATAGGCATTATTGTCCGTACACACGATATGGCACCATGGCCCGGTGATCACGCGAAGGACTTGGAATAGTGCATTTATTGCATAGCTGGAAATAAAAATATACTAGGTTTTAAAGTCTAGTTCCGTAGGTTTGCAGGGACTCGAGTGCGCTGACCCTTTGTTTTATGCTGCTGATATCTGCATGGGAAGTCGAAGAGAAGTTTCGCCTTTTTGGGTCCAACAGCAACTTCTTTTTCTTGAAATATTATCATCACTCAAATAAACTTGTTGATATTTGGGCCATCCAATTGAAAGAAAAAGCCTCATCTCCTTTTGGCTGCAGCAAATTGCTTCTAGAAGTTACTTTGTTGGCTTCAAGTGAAAGTCCCCACATAATATTCTAGGGCTAGCTTCTATTTGGGAATATCGAATTTTATATTGTTTGGAGCTTTCTTTTGAATTTTATACCCCACACTCTTAAAAGGGGAACATTGGCATATCTCCTTCCCTCAAATTGTTTAACTTCGGCCTTGGTTGAGTTTTCATCATTTTGGGCTACTAATCTCTGTACTAGTAAAAAACTTTTGTGATATTCATCATTTTGGGCTTGGTTGTTTATTTCTCTTTACTACCAAATTAATGAAACCCTCAAAACAAAAAGTTAATTAATTATTTCTCGGGCTTGCTTGTATATTTTTCTTGTTAAGTGTCGAATTGTCATTGTGAGTATGAGATCAAGTATTTTATGGCTGAAGCTATAAGTCTCGTGACTATTATTTTACACATCGAACATAACATATTTAAGTAGGTTTTGTACGGCTACGCAACAACAACAGAGATACGCTAAAATAAAGAATAATTGAAGAGGGGAGGGGGTGATCTTAGACATGAATTGACAAATAAAAATACCGTGTTGGATGAGGTACATTTGATTTTATTTGAATGAGTTTTATGGTGTTCTAGAGGGGCCTCTAAGCGTCTCCTTGACTGCAGTATTCTCAGGCTGCGTGGCATTTTCGTTATTTCCACTGAAGTTGGAGGGCAGCTTAACAACCTCACAACAAAGACCCCTCGCTTCTCATCCAAGCGACAGCCTCTCTCTCTCTCTCTCTCACGATAAAACCACCCTGACTTCGTGGCGCGTTGCACGGTGATTCTTGCAGAGTACACGGAATTCACTGGAAACTTCGCCAGCATACCTTTGCAATGCCTCCAGAAACTCCCTGCTACTAACAACAAGTTCACGTACAACTGCGACGCCCACGCCTTCAACTACCTCGTCGATAAGGGCTTCAGTAATTTATCTTTCTCTATCAGATCTCATCTGATTGATGTTTTAGTTTTTGGTCCGATCCACATCTTGATCGTGTGTTTGGTTTACCTCTCTTGCTTGATTTGAATTGTTTCGGTGGTTTCTATGTTTAGTCATGCGATTTTTGGAGAATCGTTCGTTTTCAGCTTTCGATTCGTATAGATCTCCAAGT